AGACACAGTTTGGATGTTAAATTATGGCTTTACTCATGGAGTATAAGTGAGCACCAGTCCCAAGTTGGCTTTTTGAGGTTAGAAACCAGTTTTAAAAGGAGAGGTTACCACTGTACACACAGCAAGCTCCAGTGATGATACATCCACCATTTCATTGCAAAAAAGTCTCCAATTATTGTTTCTGTGAAAGCAGCACGAGACTGTATTCAAACACAGTCACGCATTTGTCCTAGAGAGGGACCAGCACACTGGGAGACTGTCTAGGAAGGGAGCATTTTGAGGAAAGATGCTGAGGCATGAGGCCATCACTGATGACAGTCCCAGCCTCAAATGGAAACTCACTTAAGAAACATTTAAGTGTGCTGAACATCCTGCAGCTCAACTACAGCCTGATAGGATGGTATGTGGCAGCATATTCTGGCTAGATCAGGCTTCTGGGTGAAGGTTAAATTCAAGGGGGGTGATGGTGGTTTAGTTTCCTTGGGACTGTGGGGAACGGGGGAGTGGCTGGGATTGCAGAAACCAGAAAACACCCAGTGCGATATTTGATGTTTTCCAGATGCAGCAGCTTGCTAGTGTCTAAGTCACAGAGAAAGGCAAGAAGGCCTGGGCCTTAAAATTAGGCAGCCTGGTAGCTGACCTTGGGTAGTTAAGGATGTTTGGTGTGCAGGTTCTGAAAGCAGAGGGATGCTAGATGGCTGTGCTGTGCTACCTCCCCTGCTTTCTGCTAATTATATTTAGATGCCACCTTAAGACACTTATAAAAGAGTAGTGGCTTGTTAAGTGCAATTTTCATAAGCAGGGCAGGTCCTTAGTGTATCTTGCCTTCTGCAATCTTTATTCTTTCAACTGGACTCACATTATTTGGATTGATTTTAAATAAATAAAAAACTGTAATGAAAGAAACATTTTAAAAACGAAGTTCAGACATTGCTAAATCATTTTACATAAATACTCTGGTACGTAAAAAGCTCACAACAAAAGCTATATTTTCGTTTCCCTGACACTTGGGAGCAACCCCAAGCACTACACTTTGGAACCACACGGACATTTTTTTAAAATTAAAATTCTAATCCCAGTTGGTGAATATGGACACTTGTGGGGCCTACATTTTTTTCTCATTTCCTACTGTTTCACCATATAATTTTGCCATATCTCTTAAGTTAGCAAATTTCCCCTGCAGCCTGCTTCTGTCCACAGCTGGCTGTCCATGTGCGTGCATGCAAAATTGTCTAACACACTGTATATCAAACTTCATCAAAGGGCCCGCAGGACAGAGCCCTCCAACTTCTTTGCATTAAAAAGATTTTATAAAAAGACTTTGATAATATTAGTGCTTCCTGCTTTTTGATGTGCGCAAGTAAAAGACCACTGTCATGCTATCTGTACAGGCTTATAATCTACTTATCAAAACCAAGAACAGGTTGATCCTTAAAAGCTTTTAAGTTCCTCACTATTTTTTTGATTATCAAGAGAAAAAAGGTTCTATATTAAATCATATCAATCTATAAACTTATGAACAAATATTTGCTTTGCTAAGTGGAAATGATCACTCGTAAGTTTTATAGATAAAATAAAATATTTGGAGTATTTAAAACCCCCCACAAAAGGTACATCTCATGAGATGATTCTAAACAAGGTTACCACTAAGGAAAAGACTAGCATCTATAATCTGTTGGTTGTTTTCTTACCCTCTCCCCTTCCAAGCTTTAATATTTGTCCTGAAAACGTTAGAGCAGTGATTCTCAACCAGGGGGCCTTGAGATCCTTTCAAAGGTGCCCTTGGGTGCCAGTCAATGTTAGCACTGTTAGGTGCGTAAACATGACTCACAAGATGAACTCAGCGATTTCAAATTGGAATTCAGAGTGTTAAAAACTTCTGACCTATTGTGGTTTTTCTCAGTTCACTGCAACAGTAAAACTGCTCTATTATTTTTCTGTAGTTAAAAAACAAAGGAAAACTTACAACTGGCATTTTCTGAGGAGTGCCTTGAGCCTAATGGAGGATACCTTGAATATAAAAAGGTTGAGAACCACTGGCTGCGTCTACACAAGGGGCAGACTGCGCAATTATTACTACAATCATTTAGTACTTGTATAAGCAAGCATTAAATGACTGTGCAGTAACTCGCGTTACTGTGCAGTACCATCCCTATATGTTTTTCAGATGCTACTGTGCAGTAGCAATGAGCTACTGTGCAGTAGTTTGTTACTACTGTGCAGTAGCGGTGCATCACAGTTAGTGCCTGCCAACACTACTGCACAGTAGCAACAAGCTACTGTGGATGCGCCCACTAGGTAAGAGACTCAAAAAGCAGGCCTCATCACAGTTTTGGATAGATTGAAGAAAATCACCTCCATTGATGAGGATCTTGTGAGTTTATAGTGTAGGAGAGGCAGGGACTGCAAATGAGATGACATTGCTAAATCTGACTGGAGGCTAGCACCGATGGTTTCGCTAGTTACCTCGAGAGAGAAAGAGTTCCGGATTCAGAGGAGGCTAAACGTGGTCAGCAGATACAGGTTGCCTATACTTTTGTGCATATTTAAACCCTGGACTTGTCAAAACAGAGAAAAGAAAGTTCTTTGCCATAAAATTGCAGCTCCACTCCAAGAAAAGCTTATTTGTAGTTCAAGACTATTTTGGAGGCCTTGGTTTTCAATCGGGCAGCGCTGGAGCTGAAGTATGGATCAAGAGTTCTTCCATGTGATTCTATATCTCTTGGCATTTTTGATGCTGCTGTTGTCTACCTCTTGCATCACCAGGCTCTTCATCAAAGAAAGGTTACAAGAGAACAAATTCTTCTTCAGGGAAGGTAAAAGATGCTGACTGAACCCTCCTTTCACCTGACAGACCTTGCCTTCTGTGAAACAGGGGGAAGTGGCCCTAAGAAGAGCG